GTTTGCTCTCGATTCTCAGTTGCGAAAAAGGTTATAAATAATTGTCAAAGTTTGAAAAACGTGGTTTTTTGATTCCCGTTGCTTCCGGTTACATTTTAGAGAAAAAAGTTGTTATTGGAAGTTGTAGAGCTTGAAAATAGCTTTTAAATGATTGGTCATACGTTAAAAAATGTTAATTAGTTTATTTGCAAATGAATTTAAACCATTAAAAATAGCACTTTTTTAATTGTTTAATAACTTTGTTAATAATTATCGAATTTGTTTCTAACTTACCAGAAATATTCTCCTTGCGAAGCTGAATAAAACACAAAAAAATTCAACTCGATCGGATAATTAGTTTATGCATAATTCCATTTGTTAACTAAAAACATGTCATTTTTCAACGGAATTTCCAAATTTTTGGCCAGGCGAATTTCGTTTTTTTTTCTTGGAAAGTACAGTTAAGGAGTCAAACTTTCATTCCATTTAAATGGGAAATTGATTTTTTTAATCTAAGTGCATAATAATAGACGTTAAAAAAAGTATGTTTTTTTGACATAAACAAATGGCAATAACTCGGCCAATTTTCACTTTATCGATTTAGTGTAAAGGGCATTTAATTTCACTTGTTTTCACAAAACCTTTCCAAAAAAAAATCCAATCTTACTTCAAGGGGGGGAGTTAGTTTTTTCTTTTTAAAAAATTCCTGACTAGTTAATTATTATTATTTTTAATTGAAATTCGCACTATTTATAGTTAAATACTTGTATTTTATGAAAAAAAATTGATCATACGGATTTGTCCTTTTATTTTGCATTTATATCAAGTGAAAGTATATGCATAGTTTTTTCTACCTTTGGACGGCGGAGTGGGGGAACCGGTGGCGCGTGATTCTCGCCCGCCACAAAACAGAATTCAGCCGTTCAAATTTGCAAAAATGGTCATAACTTCGTTAATTATTGACCGATTTTAATCTTTCTTTTTTTAATTTGATCTACTTTTCAACACTGAATCCAAAAATGAATTTGCATTTTTTGTAAATAAAATATTTTTTATACTAATAAGAAAAAATTTTTTTTAACAACAAATTATTATTCTTATTTTTTATATTTAACAAAAAATTTTCTTTGTACATATTATTCCATTTAATTTAAAATAATATTATATATAAAAAAATCTAAAATTATTTATCTGTAAGCGTCTAGCATCGAGTGTAAGCGCAAGGCACTCCGATTTATTATTTACACGTGAAGGTGCCGATGTACAAAGAAAATTTTTTGTTAAATATAAAAAAAAATTGGACAAGTGGGAGTTGTACTCGCACTGCAATGGCGGGTTCCGTACACAAATATTAAAACAATACTTGCAACATTTATCGGTAATTAGTAGAATTAAAATAAACAATTAAAAAAATATATTAAAATCATTTGATAAAAAAGAATAACTAAAAAATTAAAGTATTGTATATATCTAATATTGTAAACAATAATAAGCAGAGGAACTATAATTTTGAAAATTTTGTTCCTCTGCTTATTATTGTTTACAATATTAGATATACAATACTTTAAGTTTTTTAGTTATTTCTTCTTATCAAATGATTTTAATATATTTTTTTAATTGTTTATTTTAATTCTACTAATTACCGATAAATGTTGCAAGTATTGTTTTAATATTTGTGTACGGAACCCGCCATTGCAGTGCGAGTACAACTCGCACTTGTCCAATTTTTTTTTATTTTTAGTTAAGAAATTAAAGTCAGAAAACAATCTCTCATTTATTCTCTTAAAATTTCACTCTTCCTTAAAATATTTAATGCCACGTGTTTAAACTAAAAAAAAATTTTTAAAAATTTTTCTTTTTGAAAAAAAAAATTTTTTTTTAAATTTTTTTTTAAAAAGTTTCTTAAATAAATTTTTTGTCGTCAGACTGTAATAATACACCAGGATACCAATTTCCAGCTCATTAGGTCAAATAATGTAAAAGTTAAGGAAAACAAATTTTTTTTTTATTTTTTTAGTTTTTCCTTGACAACGCTATGGCCATCATTACATATCAAGTTCTGTATATTTTTCCTGTAATATTCGAGTAAAAATACACCAGCATGCAAAATTTCAGCTCTCCATGTCGAATAGTTTAGAAGTTAAGGGGGGGGAATGGTCACTTTTTATGCATTTTTGGCCAAAAATCTTGTTATTTCCTTGACAACGCTATGCCCATCACGTCCAATCACATTCGCTATATTTTTCCTGTAATCTACGAGTGAAAATACATATCTGGACCAAATTTGAGCTCTTTAGGTCAAATAGTTTAGCCGCTAGGGGGGGGGACACGATTTGGCTACGGACAACAGAGTCTCACCAATAGGGTTCCGCCGATACACCGTAGGTGTACGGAACCCTAAAAATAAGAATAATAATTTGTTGTTAAAAAAAATTTTTTCTTATTAGTATAAAAAATATTTTATTTACAAAAAATGCAAATTCATTTTTGGATTCAGTGTTGAAAAGTAGATCAAATTAAAAAAAGAAAGATTAAAATCGGTCAATAATTAACGAAGTTATGACCATTTTTGCAAATTTGAACGGCTGAATTCTGTTTTGTGGCGGGCGAGAATCACGCGCCACCGGTTCCCCCACTCCGCCGTCCAAAGGTAGAAAAAACTATGCATATACTTTCACTTGATATAAATGCAAAATAAAAGGACAAATCCGTATGATCAATTTTTTTTCATAAAATACAAGTATTTAACTATAAATAGTGCGAATTTCAATTAAAAATAATAATAATTAACTAGTCAGGAATTTTTTAAAAAGAAAAAACTAACTCCCCCCCTTGAAGTAAGATTGGATTTTTTTTTGGAAAGGTTTTGTGAAAACAAGTGAAATTAAATGCCCTTTACACTAAATCGATAAAGTGAAAATTGGCCGAGTTATTGCCATTTGTTTATGTCAAAAAAACATACTTTTTTTAACGTCTATTATTATGCACTTAGATTAAAAAAATCAATTTCCCATTTAAATGGAATGAAAGTTTGACTCCTTAACTGTACTTTCCAAGAAAAAAAAACGAAATTCGCCTGGCCAAAAATTTGGAAATTCCGTTGAAAAATGACATGTTTTTAGTTAACAAATGGAATTATGCATAAACTAATTATCCGATCGAGTTGAATTTTTTTGTGTTTTATTCAGCTTCGCAAGGAGAATATTTCTGGTAAGTTAGAAACAAATTCGATAATTATTAACAAAGTTATTAAACAATTAAAAAAGTGCTATTTTTAATGGTTTAAATTCATTTGCAAATAAACTAATTAACATTTTTTAACGTATGACCAATCATTTAAAAGCTATTTTCAAGCTCTACAACTTCCAATAACAATTTTTTTCTCTAAAATGTAACCGGAAGCAACGGGAATCAAAAAACCACGTTTTTCAAACTTTGACAATTATTTATAACCTTTTTCGCAACTGAGAATCGAGAGCAAACTATTGGGCTCTTATATGGGGCCCGCAAACTACAAGAAACCATTTAGACTTTGCTGCTAGCATTTATGTGTACTTTTTCGACCCAACGACTGGCCTAGACGTATTCTGCTCACATGGGATCGTACCCTTATACATGTCTAAACATAACCAAAAACTTCGTCTTCGTAAACAATGTAAATAACCTGAAGCATTCAGTGCTTCGAAAAAATGCACAAGAATTTTTCTAGGGTGGTCACCTTAGGACCCTGGCCATCTTGGGGCCCTCTACCCTATATAAAGTTGAATTTAATTGGAATAAAAAGTAATAAATTAATGTACTCTTTTTAAGAATGTTTCCCTGCTACAAAACAACCTATTAATATTGTGAATTTTAATAATTGATATGGATTTTGGGTAGTTTACAATAATTATTATTCCTCCTTATTTCAATTTCTAAAACTAATGAAGCACGTCAGTTTTTCTCTTTTCCATATTTAACTACTTAATAAAGTGAAGATCGATATAAATAGGTACAATTTAAATATAAAAATCATTTTATTTAGTTTCCTTCGAGAGGAAGACTATGTAGTCAAATACATATAATAAATAAATTTTCTTGTAATAATTAAGAAAATTTAGAGTAATATTTTTGTAATTAATTAATAATTATTATTTTTCTTTTAAGAGCCAATATAAATAAATGACAAAACCTTCTAAAAATGGCCTCTTCCGAGATTCGCGTATACCTTGGTTATATTTACTTGGAGGGGGTCCCGTCTTACCAAATGCGGCAAGGACGACAATCCATAAGCAGTTGAACCTTATAATGGGTTACTTTCTTTCTATTCTCAGTTTTTTCGGTTATCATTGAGAAACACTATAATAAAATAAATTGAATAGTTAATAACGCTATCTAGAACTACTTTTTCTTGTTTCCATTAATTTTGAAGTTTATTGATGATATAATCCCACAAAGCACAGACATTTTCTGAAAGTTTGCTGCAAGTTTTCCATGCAAATTTCGCAAGTTTGCATTGCAAGTTTGCAGCAAACTTGCATAAATATAAAAATGTCACCCACTTGGCAAGTTTGCACTGCAAGTTTGCAGCAAACTTGCGCCAAATAGCATAAACTTAAATGTATGCGCAGTAGTTTACTATGACATCTAGAGATGCGCACTATATTTTAGTCACCTTCCCTCAGGGAAGGTATCGTTCATCAAAATATATGTAATTTGAAAAAAAAAATTTTTTTTAATTTTTTAGGTATTTTAGAAAGTTTGCAGCAAATTTTCCTCAAGTTTTCATTGCAAACTTGCCAAGAGGGTGACATTTTTATTTGTATGCAAGTTTGCTGAAAACTTGGATGCAAACTTGCGAAGTTTGCATGAAAAACTTGCAGCAAACTTGCAGAAAAATACTGTGCTTTGTGGGATGATATATTATATGTAAATAATAATTAAAAATGGACGATTCACTATTTAAAATTCTATATTCAATTGCACAATTATTATAGTTTATAGTTGGGATTAAGGATATATATTTGAGTGAAAATATTAAAGGTTTTTCAATGTTTTTATTTAATGCTCATTTGTTCAGTTTACAACTTGACGTAGATAAAATTATAACATAAAATAGGCAACATCGCGTATATTAATATTAATAATAGCAATAATTATCGCGGTAATAATTGTAATATTTAAAAAGAAATAATCGTAATTTGTAATAGTTGATGATAATCATATGAGCACAAAAATTGATATTTATATATTGACACAATTAATATGTGAACTGCAAATGTAAAGCTTCGGCATGCATTTTAGATCAATAATAATTTAACTGATTATTTGTTGTAGATTTTGTGAGCACTATCCTTTAAAAAAATACTACACTCTCGAAAGTTAATGGAGTATCTAAAATCACTCCAACTCGTGAATTTGACAAGATTTTTTTAATATTTACGAATTTTGAGCTAATTTTCGTTTTATTTTTTGAAGATGCTGTTTGTACTAAAATAATGTTTATTTGTGTATTCAATCAAAAAATTTGATTAATCGCTATTTGTTATTGATTATTAAAGAATAGTCTTGCCAAATTTGCGAGAAAGATTTTTCTCCGCTTTTTTACACTTACATGATCATCAATTCTCTATAGTTACTAAAAAAATAGTTTAGGCTCTTGCTATCGATTCGCCCACTTGTCTTTTACTTATCACGTCAACACATATTTTTTACTTCTAAATTTAAAACTCGTGTGGTCAGAATGAATTCTGTCTCTAAATATGGAGATTTTCCAACAACTGACTCTCATTACTAATAACAATAAGACACTTGGTAAAAATGGTCTACATTTGCTTTTGGTATAAAAAAGACATTTAAAACATTGGAATGGCGTTTTTTTTGTCGTGGATATATACTATCTACGCAGTCTGTTGGGGTTATTTTTGATAATGCATAGTATACTTAAAATACTATTATTTTCGCGTGTCAGAATCCTTTCCGTTAACAACTTTTTTTTACTCTCATCAACTTATACCTAATTTTTTGCACTATTATTTTTAGTGCTTAAAAACGAGGTTACAACGAGTAAATAAATTGTCTTTAATAAATACAACCGATAGACTATATAAATAAATAATTTCTATAAACGATTATCGTCCTCATTGTAATCAATGAAAAAACCATAGATCAAGCAAACCAGCAATTTAATATGAAAATACTAGCTCAAATTGTTGGAATTGTTTTATCTTTGGTTTTATTAATGATTTTAATAATTGCAGACCTTTCATAATAACAGAACACGCTTAAAATAAAGGCTCGTAGAAAATAATCTACTTGTCGTAACAGTATTTTTTGTAACTTTATTTAATAAAATAGAAATTAGTTTTTTATTACTAAAATCTCAAAATAATTCTTTTATACAAGAATTGTAGTCATAATAGAAAGTTTCTACTCGCCTATCATGGGTCATCGATTTTAAACCACTCGGTCTGCAATCAAAAATACATTGGAAGCCGATCGGAACGCTATTAACGCACTTGACTGGCTATAAACGTCCCTAGTCGCGCATTGTATTCATTAAACATTTGCACTATGAGAAATGCGCAAAATGAACCAATGTACAACAATAGATTTTCATGCAACTGTAACATAATGTGTTATAATATTATTTATTATAAATTTAAATTGAATAATAATTAGGGGAATATTTTATTTAAATTCCACTTTATCACTCTTAATTAACCATTCTCATTTCCATTGTTGCACATCAGATGCTACATTCTCCATGAGTGAATTTGTACATTCATTGCGTCTATTTATTTTAAAATACTAATTTGTGGAATTTACAAATTTGAATCTTTATATTCTTAACATGATCTTTTTATGGATGAACAAATTCACTATTCGTCTTTTACTTTTTTCCTAATTTTGATTTTTTAAAAGTGTTAAATCTAAAAGCACCAGTCGAAAATTAAATTTTTAGGATGTCACCAACCTTTTCATAAACGGATCATTTAACCCAGAAAGCGTAAGTTTCAAAATTGGAACACCGAGTTAAAAGAATTTATTATTTTTATACAATAGCGTGATATTCAAATTATCGAAAACTAAAAATTACATTGTGTGGATTCCTATCTGCCTTATGTTCGATGAGTTAAGGTTTGTGTTATTTTCTCGGTCAAGGCAAACCCTTATTCAATGATGAATTCGGAAGCACCAGCCTCGATTCCAAGTACCTTTAATCTCACGTCCTCGGAATTCTACCAATGGGTCAGATACTATCGGAAGCAACGGACACAGGCCTCTTATAAATTGGTGCAGGTATTTTTGAAAAATTTCCTCTTTCCACTGTGGATTTTGGATCTTTTCTGGGACTAATGGAATTAGAGATTTCAGTTGGTAGTTCGACAATTCCATTACCATCAACCCACGCTCTTGTAAAATCGAGTGTAGGATCACCCTCTGGCCCAGAACCATGACCCTTGTAATCCCGCAGAAAGTCCTGTAGCTTTTGAACAACCTGTTGATCATCCTGTAAATGTCCCACCTTTTGGAGAATTTGCTCTAACAAAGGATTAGCGTTTTTCGTTGGTGACGATTGTAGTGATGATGTTGCTGGACGAATTCGACGTCCATTTCTATCATATTGTGGCCCATTTGACGGCTTTGGTAAACTTTGTCTAACAGGATTCTTCCTGGAGAAATTGGAATTTTGAGAAGCAGAAAATGTATCAGCTTGCAGCCTAGGTCTTTGTCTGACTTGACGGCCATTCCAGGTGTTCCTGCCGTTAGATGAACTTTGAAGTGATTTAGGAACAGCAGAAGCCTTACTGAGACTTCCAGTCGGTGGTTTTTTGACGCTATCACGGATACCTTTGCGTTTTATAGGACTTGACTCAGGACTTGAGTTTCCTTCTCTAGGTGTTCTGCTGCCTGATGATGCTTTCGAGAGGTTACTATTTTCTCGAGCGATAGAACCTGCTCTTGGTGTTTGATCACCTGATGAAGAAGCTGCACTTCTGGATGGAGATGCTCTTAAAGGACTCGGAGGGCCTATTCTTATTTTACGTAAACCGGTCTCAATACTTTCCGTCTCAACGCATGATCTTCCTTGATCTGCTTTCGGTTGTTCTGTAACAAAAACAAGTCATGAATTTTAATTATTATAGTCAAACATTACAAAATTCATTAAAGGGCCATATTGTGAGCCAATAGTGCCAATATTCGAGTAATAATGACAACCAATATTGGACTATTATTGGTTGTCATTATTGCCACTGTTGGCTTTCCAATTTTAGAAAATTATATGTTGGTTCAATTGTTTCGCCAATAGTAAAGGCTGTCAATTTTTCATTGAGATTAATTAATATGTTATAAAAATATCCATAAAAATTTTTTTTATCTCTGTTAAAAATGAAAATAAACGTTAGCGCCTGTCCGATTTTAGTTAATCCTTTGCAATATTAGAATCTTTTTTTATGCTCCAAGTGCCACACGATCGAAGTTTTTATAGTGACACCCACACTTAATGAATAAGTTTCCACAAGTCTTGATTTACTATTAGAGTCTAAATTGCTAAATTCGTATTTAATACCAAGTGAAATTTCCACTGTATTATTTTTAAAATTAGTATAAATTGTGCGTTTTTAAAAATTCAATTCCTAAACTACATTTATTTACTTTGGCTTGACTATGCAATTCTATAAATAATCTGGATGCATTGTAATAGTTTAGAAAAAATTTGAAAAAATTATAAGAATGTAAAATAGACAGCATCAAATTAAATATTGATGATGACAATGCCGAAAAAATATTTTTAATGAATAACTAACTAATAGGGTAAGTGTACCAATTGCCGAGGGTTTTCCATTTGTCGATGTTATCATGGTAATAACAAAAAAAAATTGTCTAAAATGTCTCATTTGTTTGTGGATATAATATTAATATATTTTTTTCACATTTATAACGCATTAAAAAATTAATATTTATTACTCGACAATTGGTACGTTTACCCTATGTACGCAGCAATGTTAGGGATAATATTAGATATAATTTAGAACTTAGAATATAATTTGTTTAATTAAAAAAGTAAAATTTATATCAATTCCTATGACACATTAGTGTTTAACTGATTTTTTGTGCAGATAATAAGCAATGAAAGTTACCTAATTGACAAAAAAAATCAAGTCTGCTTTGCAAAGATCATTTTCAATCTATGTTAAATTCTTTTACACCCATTGCTTTCGACTTGACAAGATTGTATTGATTTCAACCAGAGTGCGATATTCTTGACAGCCAAAAAATCACATTTGTATTTTATTTTTAATCCTCCAGTGGACTATTAAAAGAGAAGTTTCAGTATATCAAGTGAAGTGTAATCTTTAGAAAATCACTTTGCATATCATCAGATTTATTATAAGTATCAAATAATAAATAAATAATCATTTCTATTTTAAATGCTTTCTTCGAAAATTACAAATAAAAAATTCACAAATAAAATAATGATAATAATAAGTTGTTACTACTACTACTTGAAAGTAGAAATAATTTCTTACTAGTTTCTTAAATTAATTATCTGGCATTCAATTTCTTTAGGTATATGTGCATAAATGCGATTCGGAAGGTCTAGGTTGTGATTCATCAGTCACTTCATAATTGTAACTGAGATCTGGACACCTGATGTGATCGTTTGGTAAGTTGGTAGAAAGGGTTCTAAAAAGAATCAAAAGTTAGCAATTGTTCGGATGACAGGTTGTTGGTTCGCCCACGCTTCAAGGGATCCCATAGACGTACATTCAGCTAAATGTCAGCCCAGCCTCTTTGCGATTTCATACGTGGCTTGTGTACTTTGAATATTAATGGACTACAGGGTGGTCCAAATGCGAGGTGACAGCCGACCTCCAAGGCACTCTTCACTCTATAATTCCAACTTCCACACCTTTTGCGTAAATTCTATCAATTTCAACTTACTATTAGATTATGCATCAATTACAAATGTGGGTCAGACACTGAGAAAATCGTCAGATTCTGATATTTTCTGCGATAAACTTCAAATTGAAAGAAATATTTTTAATTTCAACGTGATTGCATTGGTTCAAACTTATCATGAGCGATGCGTGAGTTAATAAGACAACCATGTCTTAATAAAAAGGTGTTTTGTATTTTGATTTGAATCTTTGTCTTTCACTCTTTTATCTCATTGTTAAATGGAATGATCAATCTACAACAAGATCAAAAATACCGCACAATTTCAATGCAAAATATTCCAAACTTTTTTTCCAGCCGATGCAAATTTTATCGCGGACGATATTCTACCTCAGTCACCCGGAAGGAAAATTCTTTTTCCATTTTCAAAGGTACAACTTGTGAAAGAGGTTATCTCGAGCTCTGATCTGAGTGACCCATGTCACTCATGAGGCATGTTGGTGTTTTATTGACAAGAATGGAATGCAACGGTATATATTATATCCTTATCTGATGTAATAGATATAGGAATCAATTTAACGTGCTTTATTAATCTATCCCAAAGTACACTCATTTTATGTCCGCACGTGAGACTTACAATTTTAAAAAAATTCATCCCTAAAGCTCTTCATGATCTCGAGATATTTATGAAAATGTCATGTTTACACACACACACATGTGGTATTCCACGTCAAGTGATCCGCGTCCAAATTTACATGGAATATTTGAAAAATTTGTAGTTTTTTTAAAACAAAACGAAAAGATGTTTTCTTTTTTGGGTTTTTTTGCTGTTTTTCAGCACTTTCTAACAAACAAATTTAAAAAAAAAATTTGACCTTGAAAAATTCAATTAAGGAGGTTGTTTACAGGTATTCAGACCGACAGAAAAAATATTACATTGACATTAAAGAATTTTTTAATATGATTGTTATTCGTATCTTCTGGAAGAAAAAATATCAAATTTCAAGAAAAAAAGAAGGAGGGTCAATAAGGCCTGTTTTCGGCCCCCTTTAAATTTTTATTTAAATGCTTGAAATAAATTTTCCGCCAAAGAAAAATGATAATTATGATGATTGAAGGTTAAATGAGGGTGATGTTTGGAGAATATTAACCCCTATATAATAAGAGTTTTGAATAAAAAATAAGGGTAAAAAAATGTTCAATTATGAATTAATTGGCTTGAAACTTGTTACACAGGGGTTTTTGGGGTCGCTGATTACGAATCTGGTATTAGTTTTCCAAAATTCAAAATGGTGGATCCAATATGGTGGACGACTTTTTTAAAATATGACTTAATTGGCTTGAAAATCATTACTCGGTGGTTTCTGGGGTCGCTGATTACGAATATGGTGTTAATTTTGAATATCAAACATCAGATTCGTAATCAATGTCCCCAAAAACCCCCGAGGTACGATTTTCATGAAAATATTCATTTTTCAAAAAAGTCGTATAGCATTTTGAATTTTGAAAAACTAACACCATATTCGTAATCAGCGACCCCAGAAACCACCGAGTTTTTCAAGCATTTAAATAAAAATTTGAAGGAGGCCGAAAACAGACTTTGAAACTTACAAAAATTGTTTATTTAGTCATTTTGCATATGATCAAAGTTTTCTTCATATTAAAAGGTTAAACTTTTTCAAACCTGATTCGATTTAAGCCAATGATGGCTTCATTTCTTGAGAAAATGATTCTCTATAACTTGACCGCTCAGTTTTATAAACAAATACACCGTTTTAAAAATACGCTTATTTGTTTAAAAAATTTTTATAAATTAAATCACTTTTTTTAAACAAATAAACATATTTTCAAAGCGGTGTATTTTTTTATAAATCTGAGCGGTCAAGTTATAAAGAACCATTTTCTGAAGAAAATAAGCCATCATTGACTTAAATCGAATCAGTTTTGAAAAAGTTTAACCTTTTAATATGAAGAAAACTTTGATCATATGCAAAATGATTAAATAAACAATTTTTGCAAGTTGCAAATTTTTTTCTTGAAATTTGATATTTTTTCTTTCAGAAGATACGAATAACAATAATATTAAAAAATTCTTTAATGTCAATTCAATATTTTTTCCGAAGGTCTGCATACCTGTACACAACCTCCTTAAAAAATAAAATTTCATTTTTTTATCAAATGGACATTTTTTATTTAAATTTTTTTCATAAAGGTGAGGTTTTTTCCTAAAAAAATGTATAGGTTAAAACGTGGGACAAGAACTTTTAACTGGTCAAATTAAGCATTTACTTCTGCAGTGCACCGGCCCACAGTGAATTTTTTTTACAATTTACTATTAAAAAATGTCTACAGCTTACATTTTTTAACCGATTTGGGTATTCTTTGTTTTAAATTAAGGGGAATAAATTCTTAAGATATTCCTCGAGGCGATTTTTGTGATTTTATTTGTTCATATATTTTTTAAATCTAAATTAACAAATTAATGTTCACTTTTTTAAAAGATCTTGTTCCGCGTTTTGACCTACACATTTTTTTTAGGAAAAAATCTCACCTTTATGAAAAAAATTTTTAAAAAAATGTCCATTTGATAAAAAGATGAAATTTTATTTTTTAATTGGATTTTTCAAGGTAAAAAAAATAAGGCTTACTAAGTGAATTAGTAGTTTTCTACTAACAAGTAGTAGTTTTTTACTAAAAATTAGTCAAAACTCATACTAATTCAAATTAATAAACGAATCCGCACTATTCCATTAGTAGAAAACTACTAATTTAGATTTAGAGAGTAGATATGTGAAAATTTCTTGTATGCATAAGTAGTGAATTCAATTTGCACGTACTTGCAAACCTAAAATATTAATTTCTCAGTATCATTTAGAATTACAGTTATTGAATCAAAGATGTGAAAAATATAGTTAGGTCAGTCGTAATAAATATTAAAATATAATAAATTTTTAATGATTAAATTAAAAAACTTCACTTATTATTTATATAATTTAACATTTTTACCAGTAATAATTTAGTTTCATAATATTTTAATAAGTATCAAAGTAGAGTTGACATTGAAGTTAAAATTTTGTTTATATATGTTTAAATAATTTGTTATACACACACTGAGAAAAAAATGCTATTGAATCAATGACATATTTGTTTGTCGCAATAAACGGCATATTCAATATCGTTCGAATACAAATACTGTTGGTTCAATA